ATGAGCTGTGTCCAAGTCAGAGTGGGCTTGTTGGGCTGACGGGCCCCAGTCTGTGATGAAGAGAAGGCAGCCTGGCGAGAGAGACGCTCTGTGCTGTGGGGAAGCCTCTGGGGCCTGCAGCGGGGAGTGTGGGGAACGTCGGCTGCTCCTGCCGGGCGTCTCCACGTCTGAGGATTACGCTCGTGTTTCAGCAGTTGGCCGAGCTGCTGACTCACTGTGCCACATGCAGCCAGCTTTAGTCCAGACTGTTTGCTGCTTTTCCAGAAGCATCCATTTGTGCGAGCAAACATTCAGAACAGGCAGAAGGGCATACAGCAGGCGGGCTTCCTGCTGCGCCTGCCCCCGGCTCCCCTGCAGCCTTCTTCAGAGGCGTGCCGTGTCCCGCCACCTGTGTATCTGTTTGGAGATGTTTCGTGTGTTTTTAAAGCAAATAGGTCTCTGCTTTCCTCCCCCCATCTTCACTTTCCTCCACAGATGACAGCCTGCTTTCCCCACGGGGCCGTCCCTGTCCTTGGCTTCCCACCACCCCTCCTAGAGATCACTCCACACTGGCACCTAAGGAGAGTCCCCACTCTTGTCTTTGGAGATGTCGTACAGCCAGACCTCGGAGATACTGCTGCTCAGTTCCAAACCACGGCCATAAAGCGAATGTGATGGGGCACGCGTGTTTTAGTTCCCCAGCGCCTACAGAAGTTATGTTCACACTGCCCTGTTGTCTGCTAAGTGTGCAACAGCATGATGAAAAAGCTTGAAATATCGTGACAGTGACCAAAATGGGACACGGAGACACGCAGTGAGTGCGTATTTGGAAAACGGTGCTAATAGAGTGGCTTGACGCAGGGTTGCCACAAACCTTCCGTTTGTAAAAACCGCAGCATCTGCAAAGCGCAGTAAAGGGAAGCTCCGTAAAGACGACGGGTGCCTGCAGGTTCCAGTGCGTGGTCTGGCAGATTGACTTCACTGCTCCTCTATCAGTGGACCCTTGGTTCGTTCCCAGCCTTGGCAGCTTTGACTACCCTTGTACAGATCTGATCGCTCACAGCATAAAAATACCAGTCGATCCTTGAGACAGCCTGTTCCGTCTGCCCCTCCCAGCGCAGCACACAGAAATACCACATCTTGATTTCAAAGTGATGTCTTTGATTTTTCAAACTTTAAAGCGTTCTTTTGCAGCAGATTTGCTCTGTGCAGTGTTGTGAGTTGGTGTTGACTCGATTCTGACCATGAAGACCCTCCGTGTGCAGTGTGGCACTGCTCCAAGGTTTGTGACCTTCTGGGAGCAGGTTGCCAGCCCTTTCTTCCGAGGTGCCTCGGGGTGGGTTTGAACCATCAGCCTTTTGACTTGTGACCGTTGGCGCCATCCAGCCACATCGCCCAGTGCAGTGTGTCATTTGATGTCTTGACTGCTGCACCCATGGATTAAAGCTCTTCTGACCAGAGAACTTCCTTACGTATTTGGTCCTGTGTTTGACGCTCAGTTGCAGTGAATTGTGAGCCCCAAGGGCCTAAGGGGCTGGGACTCTGCCCTGTTCCCCAAGTATTACCCAAACCCAGAAAACCAAAGCCAGTGCCATGGAGCTGATTCTGACCCACAGCGCCCCTAGAGGACAGAGTGGAACTGCCCACAGGGTGTCCAAGGCTGTCAGTCTTCACAGAAGCAAAGTCCAAACCACACCCACTGCTGTGGAGTCCATTCTGACCCACAGGGTTTCCAAGGCTGTCGATCTTTACAGAAGCAGACTGCCTCATCTTGCTCTTGCAGAGTGGCTGGTGGGTTCAAACCACCAACATTTTTTTTTTTCTGGTTCTAAAATACTTCATTGTATTAATTCTGTTTGCTATTTTCATTAAGAGGAAGCAAATTGTTTCTTAATATAAACTCTGTTTTATCCACCAACAGTACTGTGAACGTACCATCATGCTAATGATACAGATAAGCAAATATGAAGAGTGAGGTCCTATGGACACATCATCTAATAGCCAGTTGAGGAAGAGGTGATAGTAACACACACTGAGTATTTACTTATTCTATATTAGAGTCAATTTCTTTTATATATATTTTTTA